AGAAGCCCTCCGGGGCACCCCAGCACCTCAAAGAAGCCCCCCGGGGGACCCCAGCACCTCAGAGAAGCCCTCCGGGGCACCCCAGCCCTCAGAGAAGCCCTCCGGGGGACCCCAGCACCTCAGAGAAGCCCTCTGGGGCACCCCAGCACCTCAGAGAAGCCCTCCGGGGGACCCCAGCCTTCAGAGAAGCCCTCCAGGGCACCCCAGCCCTCAGAGAAGCCCTCCGGGGCACCCCAGCACCTCAGAGAAGCCCTCCGGGGGCATCCTTGCCTGACCAAGGACCATGTGGTTTAACATGACCCGCTCGTGGACATTCCTTTGCTGCCTGGCTGTCTACAACCCTTGTGATGGAGGAGGGCAGGGGGACCAGCCACAAAACGGTACCGGCCACCAGAATTCACACATTCATGAACTAGTTATTCTAAGTTTTAATTCAGCCTCTCACCCTATCCACAGGGAAATGGCCCCCAGGAATTACTACCTGTGCCTGGATCCACTGTGAACACTGGGTCAGGACTCCTGAGAGTTCACCCATTTCCTTCAAGGCTAACAATCTCCGTCTCAATGTAAACTTGTGATTCTGCACAGCCTGACCCCTCTTAGCTGGTGTGTACACGACAGGTCCTGGCCCTAAAGGTTCCTGCTCGTCCCCTACACCCATTCCTAAAGGGGAGTTGTGTTTGCAACCCCATTTCGGGCTACATCTCTCTACATTCCCCTGGGGTCTCCCTCCTTCTCTGTTACAATGATGTGGTCTAACATCATCTCCTGAAATACCAGAAAGGCTTTCTGCAGACGCTAAAGGAACATTTCAATTAAAACTGTTCTCCTGTAAAAACATGAACTCCTAAGAGGCAGCTGGGATTCTGTGTGACCCTCTCAACACCGTGCATTTTGAGGTTTGCCAAGAGGATACAACTGGTAAGTGTGAATGGGAGGGCCGCTCCTTCGAAACCAGCCCACATCCCACTTTCTGCAATGCTATGGGCTCCGCTATCATTTCCGAAGCCATACCCGCCAGCCACATGTGGGCCCCCAAGGCAGGGCCTGGGACTCCTGTCCAGACTCACACCCCCAGGGAAGCACTCGACCTTCAGAGCCCCTCCTTACCCCACTGGGAAGCCCGAAGCAGTATTTGGGACCCCCAAGGGAGAACAGCATCAGACACCCATAGCAAAGTCAGGGGTCCCTGGGGATGGGCTCAGACCCCTAAGGCAGGGTCCAAGACCCAAAGGGCAGCACTCCAACCCCTTAAGGCAGAGTCTAGGATGCACTGTGACAGACTTGGACCTGCCATGCAGGGTTCCCAATCTCCAGGGCTGCACTCAGACCCCCAAGGCAGGGTCTGGGATCACCAAGTATGGAATGGAACCCCAAAGTCAGGGTTTGAGACCCTCAAGGATGAGATGGGACCCCCTCAAAGCAGGGTTCAGGACCCCTTGGGTCCCCCTCAGACTGCCCCAAGGCAGGGTCTGGGGCCTGGGGCTGCACTCCCATAATTGGGCTACCAACGCAGATTTAAGACTCCCCCACCCGGGGCCAGATGGGAGACTGCAAGTTCAAGTTCGGGATCTCCAGAGCAGACAGAGCCCCAAGGCAGAATTTCGGATTTGCGAGGACTGGCCTGGACCCCCAATGCCGCAGTCGGACTACCAACATAGACTTCCGAGCCTTGACTGGATTTGGAACCCTCCCGAAGTGTTCACAATACCCGCCGGGCTAGATTGCAGACCCCAAGGC